GGACCCCATCTTTTGAACAGAAAGTATCACGCTTGAGCTTGAACTTGAGAGTTGGTGGAGTTAGACAACTATCGGCTCCGCTCAAAATGTGCCGTATCATGTTTTGTGACTCGTCTCACGCTAGTCGGCAAGACTCTATTTTTTATAGCTCAATTCAAGAAGTTTACAACGCAGAATCATGTATATGGGCACAAGCCAAGACGGTATCAAAATCATTTCAAGTATGGCAAAGCGAACGACGCCACACACGTGTTGGGCCCTGGTATCGATTTAACAGCAACAGCGTATGGCAAAATCCATGGCCAGCCATACAGTATTCTCGTTTTGCGGATCCTCTTCTGCAGCCCATGTATCTCGCGGCCCGATTTTGTACTTTCTTGGTTTCAAGTCCTTCTCAATTGAACCTTAATAGCGCAAAACGGCCCAGAGATGCGAGAAACTGACAAGAATCCTCATCCTCATCCCACCAATCAATCCCCATCCTCTTCCTCACCAGACAAATTCTTCAAGCCAGTCCAGAAAAGGCACAACAATAATTCGTGTCGCGAGAGGGCTGTTTTGATCAGGACGTAGAAGCGCATCGCTTTAAATAAGATCACTTTCATTGTAGGAAAAAGGAATCCAATGTACTCAAACTCCAACTCGAATTGATTTTTGAGGAATCACGCGAATACGATACGTAAAAGTTGTAACTAGTCTCTGAGATCGGCGTTGGCAAATACGACAAGTCAGCGACAAAAATATATGGCACCTTGAGACGGTAGTGTGTGCGTAATGACTCTGCGATGAACGAGCCGGACGCGCACGAAAAGACGGGATCGAGCAATATTTAACGTAAGTTCTGAGTCGCCCAAGTTCATCGCAACCAAAGATTCTGGCAGCTGCCGTATGAGGTTGAGTATTAGCCGCCAGACCTGCGTACCGAAGCTCAATAAATGTAAAGCCTTCCGATCCATTGAGGTTACAATGACTTTATGGAGTCGAGCCCGTTATTTAGAGAACCACACCACTATTGAGTTTCCAGAAACCCTTTTCAGCAGCCTCCATAAATCCTCGTCGGAGGGATCAGCTTTAACCTAGCGACTTGTAACACCTACACAATAAAAAAAGAGGTAAATCAATTGACCAACGCAAAGAAGGGGACTAGCCAACGTCGGAGGGATCGATTTGAACCCTAGCGACCTGTAACACCTACGCATAAAAAAAGAGGTAAATCAATTGACCAACGTAGCCAACGTTCTCAGACACCCCCGAACTCGCGTCCCCCTAAAAACAAATGACCGGTTCTTCCATCCCATGAACGAGATGACCAGTCCCATCAGCTTAAAACAAGGTATCATTACTCGATGTTTACAACTACAACTAACAGATACGACGTAGGCGAACAAAAAAAAGACACACACACACACACACACACACAGATATCGAAACACCGTGATCCTTTCACAACAGCCCGTGGGCTGGCAGCTATACAGAGAGTTGTGTGACAGTCCTTTTGTGTGAGATCCAGGCAGTCAAAAAGGGGTCCAAACGAGACAGAGACGAGACGGAGAGACGACAACGAAATGGGGTGTTGGCATCATTAGTGAGAGAGGCTTGACGCAGAAGCAGCCAAAGCGAATAAAGAAGAAAATAAAAAAAAATAAAGAAAAAAAAAAGAAAGCGGTAAAGAGCGGACGGTGAGTGGGTGGGTTGGACCGATTTTAACAAACCACCAACCCACAAAACACCTGCACACACACAAATGTTGAACAGAACAACCGCCAGGATGGTTTTTTTCTTAAAAAAAAAAAGAGGCAAAAGACAACAAAACAAAAGAAAGTTTTTAAAGAAAAGAGAATAAAAAAACTATGAACATGAACTACAAGTGGAGTTTATAGAGAATTTCAGAGGTAATAAAGAGAGGGGCAAAAAAAAAAGTGGGAAAGGGGGGGAAGGGGAGGGGGCATATATATAATCTGAATCTGCATCGAGAGAAAAAACGAAACGAGCAGGCGAGAGAAAATAATTAACAAAAAAAAATAAAAGAAAGGTGAAAGTCGAACAGCCAGCCAGCTCCCCAACCCTCGAGCTTGTCTTGTACACACACACTGCGTGCGGGGGGGTATAACAAATCGCGTTTCGTGCTGCACGAAATCCAGTGTGTGTGTGGGGGGGTAACGAGAGCGTTATCTTTATCTGGCCGAACGAGCGTTGGTTTATCGATCGATTGTTCTGGTTGTAGTTGTGAGTTGGTTGAGAGGAAGGAAAGGGGGGTGGGGTGGGTGGCGCGCCGAGTTTGGGGGTATCGTGTTAGGGTATTATCAGCTTCGCGCTCACGCAGCCGGAACCAACGCCTGATCCAACGACATATCAACCACCATCTCCTGCTGCTCCTCCTTCAACCCCCCACTCCCAATCCCATTCACATTCGCAGCAGCAGTCCCCTCCTGACGCTCCTCCACCTCCCCATCAGCATTAACAAACACCACGTCTCCACCGATCATCTCCCCGTCCTCGCCGTCCCCAATCGCGCTTATAGGCTCCGCAGAGTTAGGTCCGTTCCCGCTTGCCGTGCGTCGTGCACCGCCGCCCCCGTGCGGCCCCGAGCGGGGCGGGTTCGCACATCGGTCTTTGCCATGTGCGATGCGGAGGTTGGTATACTCTGGTTTGGTCTTGATACCCTCGATAGCTTTGATAGCGTTCGAGATGTTGGTAAAGTTCACGAACGCGCAGTTCCTAATCCGGATGTCAATGTCAATTAATCACAAAATAAACACCCCCTTGGTCGACACGTACTTTTCTTTGAGAAAGTTGACGAGCTCGATGTCGCCGAATTCTCCGAAATCACGTTTGAGTCGGTCTTCGGTGAACGTCTCAAAGTCTTCAATGTTCCCGACGTAGACGTTCCGCGTCGCACCAGAGTGCACGGCGAGCGCCAGAGCGGGGGGTAAAGGACCCGAGTTTTTACCCCAGCCCACTTTAAGACGACGGTTATTGAGCGTCAAACCCTGGTACGACGCGACATTGTAAAACGTAAACGCCGCTCTCGGATCGACAAACGTCACAAACGCAATGTGCTTGTCGACCATATACCTGATGCTGTGCAACACACCACCGCGGATCGCATTGCATAGATCCTCGGTCGTCGTGTCGGGATGGATATTCCCGAGGTAGATGGTCCTGTTCATGTCCGCGACGCCTCCACCCGGGGCTGCAGCGCCGAGAACATCGGCGCCGAACGGCGCGTATGTCGAGAACGGAGAGAATCCGGCGACGGCTGATTGGGGCGAGACGAGGGACTGTGCGGCGACGGCTTGTTGAGCAGCCTGTTGAGATTTGGGAATGTAGGCACAGCGGTCTTTGCCGTAGTTGACGCGCTTGTTGGCCCAGTTGGGTTCGGTGGGGAGGGTATTGACGACCTGTATGTGCAATAAGTACAAGTGTAAGAATGTGAGGAGATTTAAAGACCGACCTTTGTAGCGACAGAGATACTGAGAAAGTGGACGAAACCAATGTTCTTGTCGCGGACAATCTTGACTTGGTCGATCAGACCGAAACGACTGAGATCATCACGGAGCTGTTCCTCTGTGATACTCTCATCGAGCCCTCCGAGATACACGTTCCTGCTGGCGTTGCTCTGGCTGATAGCAAGTGCGACCTGTGCAGGCACAGGGGAAGGTTTACCCCAGCCAATACGGAGCTCCTGGCCGTGCAAGGAGAGCTTTTTAATGGTAGCGTCGGCATGGAAGAGCGCGGCTGTTGCGCCGTCGAGAAAGGAGAGGAAGACGCAGGATTTTTCGGGGAGGACGCGGACGGACTCGAGAGGGCCAAAGTGGACGAGGTTAAGGAGCTCGTCGACGGATGCGGTGGCGGGGAGGTTGCCAACGTAGACTGTGCGGCCTGTTGCGTTTGATGAGATCGCGGCTGAGAGGACGGCGGGAGAGTACGCGGCGGCTTGGGCCGCCGGGATGTTGAGGTTGAGAGAGGGCAGACGTTGCTGTTACACGGGGTTTTTTTTTACGTCAGTGTGAAATGGAAGTCCTAGAAATGACATACCTGTCCGAATTGGCCCATCTGTGCGCCGTAGGGGAAGCCATTGAGCATGCTCATGCCAGGCATTCCCATGCCGAGCATGTTGTAGCCAGGAAACTGTCCATAGCTGCTGCCGTTGGTGTTGGCCTGCTGAGACTGTTGTTGTTGCTGTTGCTGCTGCTGCTGTTGTTGCTGGGCCGCAAAGGCAGCTGCAGCAGTGTTGGGGCTCAACTGGGCAGGGACAGGCAAGCCATTGCCGTTGACCTGGGTGTTGATGGACAAGTTGGGGGAAGAGTAGAGGGGGCTGTTTGCAAAGGGGGCGGAGGGAGAGCTGGTAAAGGAGGACTGGGAGATGCTAGCCTGGGGCCCGTAGCCATAGTTGGCAAAAGGATCACGGGGAGAGGAGTTTGGGCCGTTGGGAACAAAGGAGGAGGATGGAGACCAGCGGGCCTTTTTGGGATCGGGACCGCCCACGGGATCGATGGAACGCTGGGACTGGAGTGAGGGGGCGAGGTTCAGGGAGACGGGCAGACGACTGACCTTCATCATGTCGACGTCAAAAGCGTAGGGCGGGTAGTGGGGAGCAAAGGCAGTCTGCGAGTCGTCCATTGGAGGTAAAGAGAGCGACAAAGTAGCGAGCGTGGGTTGGTGGTGCCCGGAAAAAGGTCACAAACGAGTGTCGTTGGTTCGAAGAAAAAAACACACGCACGGAGAGAAAAGGCGATCTGTCTCTACCAGCCGAAAAACAAAAGTCAAAATCAAAATGAGAGCACTCCTCACACCACCACACGCCAGCTCCATTCCCTCCTTTCTCACGCGCACGGACCACGCCCTCTCTCACCACTCTAGTCTCTTCTCGCTCTCTCCACAAAAAACATTCCAACCCTCCTCCCCGTTCTCGACGTGCAGAGCATTTTATCGCCACAAAACCTTTTTTTTCCAATCGCCTTTCGGGTCGTGTTGCCCCTACCGCTCACCTCTCACAAGGGCACATGGTGTAGATGGTTATCACGCTCGCTTTGCATGCGAGTGGTCTCCGGTTCGATTCCGGATGTGTCCACTTATCGTACAGAAAGATTATTTTGTATTCTTCGCGCATCACTTTTCTTACTTCTACCCGTGTCACCTCCCTTTGTCTCACGGGCACATGGTGTAGTTGGTTATCACGCTCGCTTTGCATCATAATCGCCTCTGCGCGACATCCGGTTCTGCGAGTGGTCTCCGGTTCAATTCCGGATGTGTCCATCATAAAGGACCATAGGTTTCCCTGTTCCTTTTTTTCCGTATGAATATCGGTCATCATTTTAAATTCAAGTGGTTGGCCTATACCCTATCCAACATGCAGTGACAAGTTTGTGGTGCAAATGTGTTGTGAGTGAGAATTGATGACAGAAAAAACAGAGTACATGGCAATGGCTATGTGAGTCCAACAATAAAGTCCAATAGGTAAAAGTGTATGAAATCCATGTGTGTGAGTCCAATCATCTATAGTGAAATTAAAGAGTTGAGGTTATTGTTTAGCATATGCAGTAGTGCAAGGTTCTTTCTAATGTGGCATTGAAACACTTGAGTCTGAATTAATTGTGGTGCAATTTCACACTCTGCCAGAACCATTGCTTGCTCTGGTTGAGGATATGTGGCTGTTCACTCTTATACCAGTAGTGCTTGTCAAGCATGACAGCTCCTTCTAGGATGACAACTTGCTGTTCTCACTATCAGACAAGCAGCTTGAGAAACATGAGGATGCCATGGAGGACTGGCTTCAGAAGGAAGCAACAGTTCATGATATCATCTATGCCACTGTTGATCAGTCTACATTTCACCAAATCAAAGAGAAAACTACCACTGCTGCCATCTGGAAGAAACTCATCTCTATCCATGGCAATAGGGGTGCTATGTTTGAGACTGACCTTCTTGCTCAGTTGCAAAACTCCCATTTCATTGAAAACGGTGAAGTCATGATGTG